GAGGGGATCAGGATTCCTGGGAACACTTGTAATTTGTAACACAAAGCTGAGAGAGCAAAAAGTAACATAGTAAATTTTACTTGACTGAATCTGTCTGACTGGACTGTTTCAAAGAACTGATGATCAGCTTACATCTTTCACACACAGACACAGACAGACAGACAGACAGACAGACAGACAGACAGACACACACACACACACACACACACACAGAGAGAGAGAGAGAGAGAGAGAGAGAGAGAGAGAGAGAGAGCCACCATTCATCTGTTTTCTTTGAAATTAGAGAGAAACAAGTTAATAGGCACTCTAATTTAGTCAATATATTTATATTAAATAAATTTAATTGTTCATCTTGTGTTAAGCAGTTAGACCAACTATTTAAAGATCTGATGTCCTCTAAGAGATTGTCCCAGACAGGCAGATGGCTCAGCAGGTGAAAGCATTTGCTGTCAAGCCTGACAACCTAAGTTTGATCGCCAGGACCCATGTGGTGTAAGGAGAATTGACACCTGCAAGTTGCTTTCTGACCTCCACATGCATGCCATAGCACTTGAACACACACATGCACACACTCTCTCTCTCTCTCTCTCTCTCTCTCTCTCTCTCTCTCTCTCTCTCTCTCTCGTGCATGTTGGGTCCCAGCGACATTCAAATAATGGGAAACAGACCACCAAAGTCTATTAACCAGAAGCAAATGTTATTCCAGACACTGCAGGGCAGAAAGAAACTTCCAGCTCACAGGGGCCACAATCATAGTTCAGGCTTCTGACACCATGACAATGGGAATAGGTTTTGAGTCTCTTTTTATAGTGAAAGACAAGCGCCAGGTGTGGGTCAAAGAGATTTTTACAATCTTGAGTTTAGGTCTAGAGTCACCCTATATTTTAAGAGTTACAATTTTTGTTTACAGGGTCTTAGTTTAAGATATTTGCAAAAGCCTGAAGCTGTCTTGACACAGCTGCTTCCCCCATATCTGGAAAAAATACAAGACAATGCAAGGCAGAGGGTCACGTAGAGGCAACAGTTAGAGGTCAAAGGAATACATGGAAGGAGGTCATCACGTAGAGGCAACAGTCAGAGGTCAAAGGAATACATGGAAGGAGGTCATCACATAGAGGCGACAGTTAGAGGTTAACCTTGGTCCACAGTAGCTGTCAGCTCCCATCTTCCTAGAATATGTGCAGGCTTACACATTTTTATATTTACAATTTTTATATTTCTGGGCTCTTCACACACTAATACAAATAAATCTTAAAAACATCTTCTTTTCTTGTATAATCCCATTAAGATTTCTGGGAAGACTGTGCAATCGTTACTTGAGCAGAAACTTTCTCCTAATTAATCCTCAGGAGATGGAGTTCGCTCTGCGCCCCTCCCGTCACCCTCTCCTCGGTGTCTACTGTGGTCCTTGTTTTCCCTTACACACATATCTGTTAAACTGGTTGAGACTCTGTATCCACATTTCATCACTAGCTAATCCACACTTATTTTTGATGTAGTACACTATTTGGGCTAAACAAACAGGAGAATGAGTTACTTTTTACAGAATTAAGTACAAGTTTCAGTAGCTTCTCAAGTGTATTAACAGTCAGTATAAGAATTTGAATTGACTCAGGGGCTGGAGACGTGGCTCAGTGGTTAAGAGCACTGGCTGCTCTTGCAGAGGACCCGGGTTCAATTCCCAGTACCCGCGTGGTGTTTCACAATCATCTGGTCCCAGGAGATCTGATGTCCTTTTCTGGTCTCCACGGGCATCAGGCATGCTGTGGTACATTGACATACATGCTGGTAAAACACCCAGACACATAAAATAAAGATAAATAAGCTAAAGAAAAGAAGATAAGTTTTATATATTTGTTCTTCACGTGAGGTTAGGGAACTAACAGGCAATGAGAACCACTGGAAAGCAGAAGAATCTGTGCTCTTGGGACTTTTATGTAGCAGCAGCCAAATGTTTAGCCCCACTGGAATTGAAACGAAACTCTGGGACCTAGAAGAACTCCATAAAAGAATCATTGGCATGGTGAGCTCAGGCTGTGTCTGAAACTGGTTCACATTGTATAAACCAGTGGTCTTTCCAGCTGTGCACTGTGCTAGGAGACTCCACTGCACAAGCAGCTTTTGATTCCATTTTGAGGGAGAAGGATGACTACAGCCCCTGGGTGGACCCAGAGACTCCTCCATCTGTCGTGTACCACCCACTCAGTACAGACTGGTGACTGACTTATTCCTGAGACTAGGAAGGGAGCCACCCTGTAAGTTTGTTGGAGAGAATTGGGAGTGTCAGGACACGTGGCTATATTACAATCATATCAGAAAACTAGGCCCGTGAACTTATCAGACACACCAGAACAAGGAAAGAGTTTCACATTCTCACCTGGACCCCATAAAATGATAGACACCTGGTAATGGGAGAGCATGGCCACACACCAACCTATGACCTGATACCTGCTGTGCAAGTCAGGGGCAGGAACTCCCTAGTTGTCCCTGGAGTTTCCAATTCGTTTGATTTCCAATTCGTTTGATGAGGCCTGCTTACCTCTCTGCCGTTTGCCCTCCTGGACCTGGACCTGACCCCCCCTCCCCCCGTTCCTGGCTCCTGACACGTTTCCTAACATGAACAGGTTTGGATGTTGGCCTTAAGCCAAACTCTGCAGCTTCTCCCTCGGACCTGACTCAGCAGCTCCAGCAGCCCCTCCCAGCACTGGTCTGGTTCATTATCTTATCAATATCAAAAAAGACTCTCTGCCACTTCTGAAATCCCTTGAACTCTCAGCCTCTTAAGGTTGTATTCATTCTATAACCCACAGACATGCTTACAGATACGCAGACATATTTATTGTGTGCTATGGGCTTGTGATCCGAGAGTTAATATTGGTAATTAATATTGGAATTTTAAAAAGGATGAACAATGGCTGGTTGATATTCATTGAAGGCCTGCATTTTTCTGAAGAGAAACAAAAGAGGAGGAGTGGATGGGGGAGGGGGAGAGGGGCAGCAGGGGGGAGGGACTGGGAGAAGATGAGGAAGAGGAAACTGGTCGGGATGTAAAACAAAAAATTAATAACAATAAAAAGGATGAACAAAAAACTATAAATAATATATTGTATTATGTAAAATAACATATAATATATATAAATAATATGTCTAAAACAATATATTAAAATATACACATATGTGACATATTCATATAATGCATATGTATATAATATATATGTATACATACATATTCTTTTGAGACAGGGTCTTACCACACAGCCCCTGTTGCCCTAGAACTCCCTATGTAGCCTAGGCTACCCTTGAACTCACATAGGTCCACTTGCCTCTGTCTCCAGGTGCTGGGAGGTGCCTCTGCCTCACTCCACTATTGCCTTCTGTTTCTACTCTTCTGCCATTGAACATGGAAATGTAACAAACACTCTAACATGGAAACAAACCAAGAGTTTTGGAAATTTTAGCCCTTGATCCCTTCATGGAAATCAGGGAGGTGCTGCCAGTGAACTCCTGGTACAGACGGGCAGTGTCTAACTGGAGACACCTGGTTCCTTAGGCTCTATATTTAATGATAATGTAGATGTAAGATCTATTATGAGGTGCTGGAGGGATGACTCAGTGGTTAGGAACACTGGCTGCTCTTCCAGAGGACCTGGGTTCAATTCCCAGCACCCGCATGGCAGCTCACAGTTGTTTGTAACTCTAGTTCTAAGAGAGTTGACACCCTCACACAGATATATGTGCAGGCAAAACACCAATGCACATAAAGTAAAAATAAATAAATAATAATTAAAAAAATCTATCCTGAATGTACTGCCTGCCTATAAAAAGGAATATTCACTAGTGTGGAAGCATCAGCTGCCAACAGCAATTAGTAAGACAGTAGAAAGGGGACATCTTGTCTTCAGAATAATGACAACAAGTGTTTACTTTTAAAACAACGTGCTTATCTACATGTATATCAACTTTCCTGATTTTTCAAATAGAAATCTTTGCAAAAAGAATGGCTGAATCTGGAATTAAACGTATACTTTGTCTCCAAAATTAGCAATATTACAACAACCAATATATAGACTTTTAAAATATGTACTTGTTTATATATCATAACCAATCTATTTAAGTACATATAAGTAAGTTAATAACATTTACCCTTACTTGTTTTGAGCTATCATCCATGTGAAATAAATTAAAAAGAATATCTTTTAAGTTTAATATATATACATATCTATCTATCTACATTCATGTGCATGTGTGTTTGTTGGATGTGGATGTACACATGTGAGTGCTGTACCAAGACAGGCCAGGAAGGAACATCAGTTCCTATGGAGCTAGAGTGACAGATCACTGTGAGCCACCTGATGTGGGTGCTGGGAACCTAACTTGGATCATACTGCTTCATAAAAGCAGTGTGTCTTTCTATTTTAAATTTAAGGAAAGCACACACTTTTTCTAAAATAATCCAAAGCAGAGGACATTTAAACAAACAAACAAACAAACAAACAAATAAATATGAGGATGGAAGTCTATGCTCCTTTAAATGTGCTCATCGTTGCAGTCTGGCACGCAAACTATCTTGGATTCAATATTCAGCATCACAAGATGTCTTTCATTAGTAACTTTTACATAGTTTCATCTTGTAACATTGAATCACACACATGTTGTGTGATTTTCATTGCCTTTAATTCTGGAAGAGCTAGGATTTATTTTGAGATTGAGTTCCTCAACAAAGCGCAGCTGATTAGGGACCAGGAGCCCAGCACTTGTCACAATGTGAGGTTTTATGAATAGAAAGAAAGTTGAGCCAACCCCAAGTGTGGTGGTACACAACAATGCCAGCCCTCAGGAAGCCAAGGCCAGCCTGAGCTATAGAGTGAGCCAGTGTTTCACAAAACCAAAATGAGGGAAACACAAACACACACACACACACACACACACACACACACACACACAGAGAGAGAGAGAGAGAGAGAGAGAGAGAGAGAGAGAGAGAGAACTATAGAATAGAGAATGTGGTCAGTGACAACATTGTTGACATGAAGTTCATGTGCTCATGTATATTCTTAGTTCTTATCCATATTTGATTGAGCTGACAGATGACACGTTGACTCCTTATTAATGCACATCAATATTTTCCCATAGAAGTGACAAATATGAAACAAAAAGTTTTGGGGGGGGGAATCTGTCAAAATATGAGTCTCTTCATCAGCAGTTCTGGCAAGCGGAAATTGCCACTGGTGAGGTTTAGTCTCACAGAATGTGGGCGTGAACCTGTTAGGCAAATGAATACAATGCTCTTCTCCTGAGGGTTCTAGAATGTGATTCTTGTGCCTTTTTTGTACCTCTCAATCACTCTCCTCATGGCACTCTGCACTTCCTTGTTCCGCAGACTGTAGATGAACGGGTTCAGTGCTGGACCAATGACCGCATAGAACACAGAGATCAGCTTGTCTCCCTCGGCGGAGTAGAGGGACTTGGGCCTTAAGTACCTGATCAGCCCTGTTCCGTAATAGATGGTCACCACAGCCAAGTGTGAAGCACACGTTGAAAAGGCCTTTTTTCTGCCCTCAACTGAGTCTATTCTTATCACAGCCACCAAGATGCGAAGGTAGGAGAGGACGATCAGGAGGAAAGGGAGTAGCACTGTGCCAGCCCCTCCGATGGCCATCGTGGCCTCCTGCAGAGATGTGTCTGCACAGAACATGTGCAGAAGGACAGGCAGTTCACAGAAAAGATAATCAACAACGTAAGGACCGCAGAGTGGAAGGATTACGATGTAGAGAGGTATAACTGAGGCACAAAAGCCTGTGACCCAGACTGCCACTGCCAGAGCTGTACACACCGCCCAGCTCATGATGAGAAGGTACCTCAGCGGATAGCAGATGGCCACGTAGCGATCTATGGCCATCACTGCAAGGAGAAAGCACTCAGTTGACTCCAAGAATAGAGTGAGGTAGGTCTGAGCCAGGCAGAATGGGTAAGAGATGACCTTCCTGCTTGCAAGAAAATTGAAGAGCATCTTTGGAGTCACAACTGTGCTGAAGAATCCATTGAGGAAAGCCAGGTGGCAGAGGAAGAAATACATGGGTGTCTGCAGAGAGGAGTCTAGAGCCACTAACGTGATGACAGCCATGTTCCCCAGACAGTTCGCTAGGTAGACCAGGGAGAAGAAGAGGAAGAGGGGAATCTCAGTCTGGGGGTGATCAGAAAACCCCACAAGGACCAGCTCAGCTATGGTGCTGGAGTTCTGGGGTCCCATGCCTGCTACTGAGCCATCCCTGTTCGAATGAGAAGAAATCAAAGGACCCCACATGAAAACTCTTAGGTCAGGTCGGCTCCCTTTACGTTGCTTTAGTGCTGAAGGTGATGCCTGTCCTAAATTTAAATGATGGCCTCTCTGTGAGACCCTTTCAGACACAAATGGAGCCCACCACTCCCCTAACTATGACTGACCATTTTGGGGAAATTACACAAGATCTCGTAGTTCCACAGAGATAATTTCGCCATTGCTACGTCATATCACACAGACCACCCCTCTGTGGTTCACTAACTGCACCTTTGAATGAGCTGCCTCTTAAAAGCCAGCAGGAACTTCAGTAAGATAAAGTGACTTGTCGGACATCATGAGTAAAAATGGGAATGTTGAAAATAATCCCATTCTCCTTCAATTAGGCTGGTAATTGATATTTACAAAGTTCATTGAGCCAAACAAGGAATTTAACATTCCAAGTCTATATAGACAATAGGTTTATACAGATGGAATACTACAGGTAGTATTTAAACTGGTTAACCAGGTCAGGATTAGCAAAAACAATACAGTTAAGTCACCCAGACTTCTGGCTTTCAGATTTCTAGTCATGGTCTCAGAGAATATAGTTGTCTCAAAGACAGAGTTTTCTTATTATATTTGAGTTGGCATGCAGTACACTGTGTTTCATCAGGCATTTTCCTACACACTTTGCTCTTATCTTCCTTGCTGACTCCACACCCCCTCACTCCCATCTGTCTGCTCCTCACTCCCATCTGTCTGCTCTCCCTCTTCCCCACATAGTCCTCCTCCTGCCCATTTCCTTACCCTTATGCATTCCATTACCTTCTCTTTTGCTCTCACTGCCTGAAGATCTCTTCTCCCCTGCCATGGTCCATGGTCCCCTTTCTAGTTTCATAAGTACATCTATATATTACATACAAATTTAAATCAAAAGTCTGCATATAAAAGAAAGCCTGTACTATTTATCTTTCAGAATCTCAATATTAAGATTTTGTTTGTTATATTAAGCACATTGTAAAATAGTCTTTGCAGGGCCATTCTTCCCAAATGCACACTTAGAAGCAAACACCTCTTTAAGAACATATGAATTAAGTTTCTGAATGTGCGGAAATTCAAAGGTCTAAGCTGGCTCAGTAACGTGTAGAATATCACACAACACAGGTGCAAAATGCTAGCTTTTGTTGACATAGCAACACAACAATAAAACATGATGATTCTGGGGATATTTTCTGCATAGAAGTCTGTCAGTCATAAGACACAGAGCCCAATTTTCACTCAGTTACGTCCCTCCCACCTCAACACGGCTCCTGTCTCCACTCACTCGCACTGGCTGTGTTTCCTCTTTGTCCTGCCAGAGTTCTCCGTTTTCTTACTTCCTTGTAAGAAATTTCACATAAAATGCTTTCCTAGATTTTTCTAAAAAACTACTCTCTCCCCCAATGTTTTTTGAAGAGAGAGAGAGAGAGAGAGAGAGAGAGAGAGAGAGAGAGAGAGAGAGAGAGAGAGAGAGAGAATACCCTTTGAATGAGGAGGATGAGTTCGGCAGAGAAAGGCAGTTGACATACCAGCTCAGCTCCCTGATGCTGGGAAATCCATCAGTCTGTGCTCAATGTTGGCAAAGTGTAGATGAAATTTTCTGAAAAGGACCAGTTTCTTGGCTCTATCTATAAAGGAGGCAGCATCAGAACCACAACCATCTGCCAGCATGAGAGGGCATGTGTAACACACTCAGAGTCTCTCTTCTCTCTGTACCATGTGCTGCTCGGCTGTAATCACAAATAAATGGATCTTGTTCCCCGAGCTCCCATGATTTTATCATAATAGTTATCCACATTCTCTTTATCTCCTTTCATACTCATCTCAACTTTATATTTACCAGGATTTTCCTGAAATGAAAATAAATAAAGTTGGTATCTAGACATAAATCCAGACTGGAGATGACTGAGTTTTGTAAAACCCATTAACAGAGAAAAGTTTTAGGTGGATCCCCAAGGGAACCAGTTACTTCATGCAAGAAAAATAAAAAACAAATTAATTATTTTCCACTTACTGTCAGTGGCAAATGATTCATTAATGCAACTTAAAATTTCCCACTCATGGTGACATAATGAAATTGCATTTCTTCTCTGAGAAAAAAATCTCAGCTTGGGAGTTTAAGTGGACAACTAAAAGCATTGTGTTCTTGACACCCTATTTTTCTTATTTTGTATTTTTGGTTTTTATTATAATTATTCAGTTGTACGTTTTGCAGGGAATCTGTGGATTTCACTGTGATCAGCCCAGACATGCATGCACACACTGTGCTCTGAACACATGTGTCCTCTCCTGTCCTCTTTCTCCTCCCTCCTCCCCTTTGTCCCTTTGGTCCCCTTTCATTAACTTAACAGTCTATCTTCTATTTCCAATGATCCTGCATATGAGAAGAGATGTGATGCTTTTCTGTCTAAGTCTAGCTCATTTCACTTAAGTTGACAATTTCCATTGCATCAAAGTTTCTACATATGATAAGATTTGACTCTTTACAGCTGAATGCTCCATAGAATGTATACACCACATGCCATTATCCATTCATCTGTTGATAGGCAGCTAGTCTGATTCTAAATATCTATTGTGAGTAGTGCTACAATAAACATGGATATGTGAGCCTTCATCCCCACAGGTATGCCCCAGGAGACCCACAGCTGGATCATATGGCAATGCTGTTTTCAGTGTTTAGAGACGCCCCTTACTGTTTACTACAGTGGCTGCACTAGTTTCTTCTACCTCACGGATTCTTATGTCTGTCACTTCTCATACCCAAGAGTGCTGGAGAGTGGCAGTCATGCTCCTTATTTCCTTTCTTTAAATTTTTGGTTATTTCAGTATTTCAGATTTGTTTCGTGTGTGTGTGTGTGTGTGTGTGTGTGTGTGTGTGTGTGTGTGTGTGTGTGTGTCTCATGTATGTGGAAGACAGAAGAAGGCATCAGATCCCCAGGAACTGGAGTTACAGGTGGTTGTGAGCTGCCTAATGTGGGTGCTGGAAACCAAACCAGATCATGTGCAAGAGCAGCGAGTGTCTTAGTAACTGAACCCTCTCTCCAGCCTTCTTCCTTTATTGATGTTTGAATGTTCTGTCTCCTGACCTTTCCCTCTCTCCTTGATATTCCTTTTTCTGCTTGATCTCAGCTACTCGTGATGCTTCTCTCTATTTTATTTAATTCATTGCGCCTTCTGACTTTTCTATTTATTTAATTTTTCCTTATCTCCATTTCTTGCTGAATTTCTAGTCATGGTGCTGACTTCATCCACAGTGTTGACCTCATCATCCATGGTGCTGACATCATCATCCATGGTGCTGACTTCTTTATCTATGGTGCTGACATCATCATCCATGGTGCTGACTTCTTTATCCATGGTGCTGGCTTTGTCATCCCTGATGCTGCTTCATCCATGGTGCTGATTCATCATCTGTGATGATGACTTCTTTATCCATGCTGCTGACTTCATCCATGCTGCTGACTTCTTTATCATTGATGGTGATGACTTCACCCATAATGCTGACATCTTCATCCATAGTGCTGACTTCTTCATCTGTGGTTCTGACATCTTCATCGATGGTGGCAAATTCTTGGTTCCTTGTGCTGACTTCTTCATCTATGTTGCTGGCTTTTTCATGCGTTTCTAACTTTCTCAACTAGATCCTGAATTGATTTCTTTACTTCATTCATTCTTCTTTTCTTTATATCCTCTTTGGAATAACTTGTTAATTTTTAGTTTTCATGTAACTTTTGTAATTCTTCTGGCATTTTACACACTTCAGTAACGGAGGAATTAAGATCTTTTTGAGAAGTCTTGCTTTTTTGTTTGTTTGTTTCTTGTTTTCTTGTGTGATGATTTGCATATCTTTTGGCTTGGTTATCTCCAGGTTTTAAGTATCTTCTTATCAAGGAGTCTCCCCTTAAGGACTCAACTCCCAGTATCAACCAGAGAAAAGAAAGAAAACTACCACAACAGTAACAATATTAAGTTGAACAATATATAAAAATACACTCACAACTAATTACATCATAGTAACATATTATCAATAACTATAGAACACAAATGGTAAACAATAATGAAAATTGTGCTGCGATGTTGAAAGTTGTTTAGGGTAAATGTAGAAGTAGGTACCTGACTAAGATAGCAAGAGTGGAGAAAGCACAGAAGAAGCAAAGTAAAGGACAGAGAGGGACACTTTGAAGGAAGGAGAGAATAAACAGCAAGAGATAAAAATCAACAAAATCCTCAATAATAAAATAAGTGTATAAAATAGTGAGATAAATGTAAGAAAGAGAATAAAAATTAAAAAACATAAAAGCTGTTGTGGAATATTAAAGGTATGTTACATTCTTTTATGCTGTGAAATATTTGTTTAATGGTGCAAAGATGTGTTGCATTCTTTTATATTGTATTTGTTTAACTCTGTGAAACTGTGTTGTTTTGCCTGCCTGAAACACATGATTGTTCTAATAAAGAGCTGAATGGCCAATAGCTAGACAGGAGAAAGAAAAAAAATGGGGCTGGCAGGCAGAGAGAGAAAAGAGAAGGAGAAAAAGAGAAGGAGGAGCAAGAAAAGAAAAGGAGAGGACACCTGGGTCCAGCCACCCAGCTACACAGCAAACCACAGAGTAAGAAGTAAAGAAAAGTATATAGAATACAGAAAGATAAAAGCCCAGAGGGGATAATTTAAGAAAAGCTGCTAGAAATAAGCCAAGCTAAGGCCAGACATTTATAAGTGATAATAAGACTCTGTGTATTTATTTGGGAGCTAGGTGGCAGGCCCCCAAAAAAACCAAAGAGTAAACAACAACAACAACAACAACAAGCTATCCTTTCAGTATTAATATGGGGACAGCAGAATTGCTAAGCAGGCAAATGAACCTTTGCTGAGCCTGATGCCATGTGTTTGATTCCTGGGACCCACAAGTGGAAGGAGAGAACTGACCTTCATGTATCTACTATGACACATATAAGCACCATATCTCAATACACGATAAACAGCAAGGGGTAAAAATCAATGAAACAATTAGAAATAAGATAAAATAGATAGAACACTAGAAGTATGACTGTGTATGGACATCCATAGCCAATGTGTCCCTCAGTGGTGTAAGACTGAAACCTTTCCCATTGTGATCAAAAGCAAGAGAAGAATCCAAATGGAAACTGGGAACATTTCTATTATCAGCCAACTGAAATGGGATTCTGAATTAGCTGTTTTTCTTGTTGCTTTCATCTGAAGTGAGAAACATCCAACAAATCCACTTAAGGAAGGAAGAATTTACTTAGACTTTAAAGTTCAGGGTGATTCAGTCCATCATGGGGGACAGAGTACAGGCACAGGAACACTGGGGGGGAGGGCTGTTCATACTGCATCTCAAATCAGGAAGCAGCAAATAGACAGGAATTGGGACAACTGGACGGCCAAACTTCAAGGCCTGTTCCCAATGACCCACTTCTTCCAGCAAGGCTCCACCCCCTCAAGTTTCCACAACAGTTATCTAGGATCCCTTAAGACATCTGTCTTAGTCAGGGTTTCTACTGCTATGATGAAACACCATGACAAAAAATGCAAGTTGGAGAGGAAAGGCTTTATTTAGCTTATACTTCTATATCACTGTTTATTGCTGAAGGAAGTCACGACAGGAACTCAAGCAGAGCAGGAAGTTGGAGGCAGGAGCTGATGCAGAGGCCATGGAGGGGTGATGCTTACTGGCTTGCCTCCCATGGCTTGCTCAGTCTGCTTTCTTAAAGAACCTAGGATCACCAGCCCAGGGGTAGCCCCACTCACAATGGACTGGGCCCCCCATCAATCATGGATTAAGAAAATTCCTTACAGCCAGATCTTATGGAGGCATTTTCTCAGTTGAGGTTCCCTCCTGACATAAGACCAGCCATCACAATGTCCACGTAATTTAGCATGTATTTTTCTACTTCTGGTAAACTCCACTGTGATTTTCACCAGGAATTTCATTTCATGTGTCAACATGTTGAGGAGCGTCAAGATTTAAACAACATCAAGTCTTCCAGGCATGAATATGGATGTCTGCATTTGTCCATCCTCATTAACTTGCATCAAATGAGTCCTTTAGTTACCAGTGCAGAAATCTTCTGCTTCATTGTGAAAATTGTTATAAATGGCATTGTTTTCTTATTTTTTCCCATTGTTCATTGATAGAGTCTACAAATCCTACTAGTTATCATGTGTTGACTTTGTACCCTGCAATTCTGTTGAATTTGGTGACTGTGATAGGAATCTACTGTGATCTCTAGTGAATAGATAGTAGCTCTTATGATTTGACTGTGAAGTGTCCCCTCAGGCTCACACTTGATCCTCCGCCAGTGGCGCTGTTTTGAAAAGTCACGGAACCTTTAGGATGCAGGAAATTGTGCCTTTTTTACTTATTAAAGTTTGCTTTGTGGCCTATAATGCCATCAATTTTACAGAAGGTTCTGTGTGCCATTGAGAAGAATGTGTGTTCCCATCTCCTGGGCAGAAAGTCCTGCAGGTGTCTGTGCGCACTCCATTCCCTTTACGAATATGTAACAGTTCCCTTTCATTCTCATGATTAGCTTCAAAACCTTCGGTATCATTTATAAGAACGGCTCTCCCAGCTTGCGGGCAGCTTCCACTTGCTTAGCTTGAGTTCCGACCTTCCACTCTGCTGTGGTGCCCTGCTGTTTGCACCTCGGTTTATAGATGCCCTTCAAACCCGCGCGCGCGCACATGTTTCTTGACCATGCTTTCTAATCTAATTAGTCTGTATCTGGTGATTGGTGAGTTAAGGCTATTTGCACTCAAGGTTGG